TCTTTATGCTGCATTTAAAAGCAAAACCAAGTGAGTAAGAAAATAATCCCTGCCTGGTCTGGTTGTAGAGTCTTGGCCTGCGAACACCAGGACACGGAAAGACGCCGCGTGCGCTAGAGAGGAACAAGGAAAACATCTCCAATATCAGAAACACTCCATGTGGAACACCAAGGTCTCAGGATACACAAGATGTCACCTTGAACTCTATTGCCGGCTCCTATTCGGAATTTGCGGTAAATGGGGTTTAAAATCCGTCTAGTCCTTCATAGTGGGGTTCATGGTGGAAGATTCTGCCGGCTGTCAAAAAGGCTTTTTAATGTCCGACCGGCGACCCAAACGTCTCGCCTGCTAAAATAATCTGTATTCTTTTTAAACTAGTCAGGGAACGAGTGCTGCCCGCCTCACAGAACCGTTTTCTCTGTTTTAAAGAAATAAAAAATGAAGATCTTCTTTTAAAAACGATTCTGCATCTTGTGGGTAATTTATCAGTTTTAGTTATTAATACCTGTAATACTTTAAAATGATAAAACTTTATTAAAACTCTTTCAACATACATTTGTTTTATATATTGTTTTTACATCTTACCCTGACTAATTGCAAAGGTAGAAAGGCTTCAGGTGCCATTTGCTATTTTTCTGCCCTGTTTCATCACCAATTCTGCCTTTTCTACCTCTATTATAAACCTTTTTTCTTGAGAGGAACAACCATTGGTTATATAAACCCTTTTTATGTATTTATAGTGACAGAGTTTGTACATCCCTATTACCGGTAATCTTATTTTTATTTCTAAATATTTGGGTGTTTGGAACAGCTATTTCAGTTTGATATATCTAATAACTGATGGACTCAGTAATATTTCAGAATTGAATTTAGGTTTATTGGACTTACAGAAAAATGTTCAATATGCAATATGCACAGGTGTAAAAATGTGGGCACACTAATCATTTTATTGATTTGAATCAGACATGTTCACAAGTCATTTTTTGCAAGTCTCAAGTCTTGAGAAGGCCTGTCGCAATAATCAATTAATCGCACAATACATTCTAATCACACGATTAATTAAAATAAGTGCAATAATTTGCGTGCTTGCTTGTTTCTCCTTGTGTTTTCCTCTCCGTCACTGAGACGGTGTAGCTTAAAGGTCACCATTATATCTATGGAATGATCATTATCTTGAACTGGTAAATGAAAAAGACAATTTAAAAAAAAAGCACACACGCACATTTTTTCCAGATAAATTTTGCATCTTTTTTTTTTTTTCTTTAAAAAAAAAACTATTTTCTTACCGTATTTAACTGACATTTTTGGTTACAACTTTTCCTAGTTTTCGCAGTAAATGTCTGCTCTTTTATTTTTAAGTGAAAATGAGGGCAGTGAAGGGCCTAAACATTACATTAAAGTATAAAAAAGTTGATCTTAACTTAGTTTGATACTCATGTAATGTAATACACTAATGTCTGCGCTCCCGAGAACTCGAGCTTAGCTTGTTTGTAGCACAGATGCTAACCTATTACACAGGGACCAACCTTTCAGGGTTGGTTTTCATGTGGCGGATAAAATTAGATGTGGTGGACCCAGCTGCAGTTTACTGCTCTTTTATTCCCGCCTTGTGTAAAGTTTTTGTAGCCAAAGGTTATTATGAACGGTGGGACAGAAACAGGGGTGCTAATCGTCGCCTTCATCTGTATGGGTGGCATGCGTGCGTGCGCGCGCATATCTTTCACGTAGCGTTGCGTCAGTGACGTCAGTGCTACTTGACTGTTTGACAGCCCCCTCTGCCGATTTTTGAAGCTAAAAGATCAGTCAATCAGCGGCGATCAGTCAAGTTAATAAAACAAAAAAGACTTTAAAAAAATAACATTGTTCACAAGTTGGAAATCACGAGTCTCAGTCGAGTCTGAAGTCCTTCAAATGCAAGTCTAAGTCTAGTCTGAAGTCATTAAATATGCGACTTAAGTGCGACTCGAGTACGAGTCACAAACTCGAGTCCCCATCTCTGATTTGAATGCCCTAAAATACTTTTCACTGATTTAATGAAACACAAAATTGGTTTGGTAACTTCATTAAGATT